AAGGGTAAAACTTCGTAAAATATCCGTTTTTTTAAAGTTAAATCTATGAAAATTGGTATTTGGGTGTTCAGTTAAAAACAAAATAGCACGTGTTTTAAGATTTTGGAGAATTCTATCCCTAAGGGTATCAAATAAGGGATGAAAGTTTGTATAAATATGTATTATAGTTAAACATGGAATGAAAATTTGTATCAAAATTTGTCATTGTTAAGTAATATCCATGAAATAAGACTTAAAATTTTACGGTTTTTAAATAAGTTATAAAAGACGGACTTTTTATTTTTACTATGAAGTTCATAATAAATTATGTGTTGCTTTCTTTTGTTTTGTTAGTAAGTTTCTTAGCCCTTCTGCGTTTTGAAATAGTTGTGGATGTCAAACTACCACGCGAGCGAAGCCGCAGGCAACAGCTAGTGTCTTATAAAAAAAAAGATTGTGATAGGCCGAATCATTTTTTATGAAGAACAACGATAAATTAAAAAACAAAAATGTTTTTATTTCATAGTTGCCCCGCTAAAAAACTATTTGTTTTAGGCTTCTGGCGAGCATTTGTTTAAAAGTAATAATTTTTTTGTATACACTCTCGAAACAAGCTGAGTCTTTGCTGGACCCAATAAAATAGTATGAAAAATGGTTATATTAGGTACTCAATACCCAAAATACAGAACGGATAAGTCAATTTAGTTACTATGGTGGCGAAATTTGTTTAATTAATAATAGGCGTAAATTTGCTGTATAATAAATTATTTTGTCTGATTATTGTTGCTATTATTTAAAACTCTCATAGATAATAAATAATCTTAGATCCCCACAAGGCACACATTTTTTCGAGAAAAAAAATGGTCAGGTCTACTAAACACGGGAGATTCGATAGAAGTACCTACAATTTGCAAAACTTTAAAACTTTCTTTTCATTTTGTTTTGAGCTTTCGTGAGTGACTACTCATTTTCGGCTGAGCTTTCGTAAGTGACTGTTGCTTTGCAAAATTTGTTAAAATATTTGAAATGGCTATGTGGCGTCCCGTAGATTTTGACAACATCGAATCATCAGAATCGGTGGAAGAAAATGAGAACATTGCAATGATTAGTTCCGCATCAGATGAAGAAGGCCCCTCTATCGAAAAAGTTATACTTATGTGGCCAAGGAACTTATTATTAATTGCCATAGAACTTTCGTTTCGGAAAATTATCCATATCCGGTAAAAAGAACGGCTGAACTGTTAAAGATTTCACCTGAAACAGTAAAAGGTATTGTGGTATCATTAAATAGACATAAATTATGTCAAATGTCAAAAAATAAATGTCAAAATTTTTTGACAGATAGAATTTTTTAAACATTTTTTCTATATCCCTGGTATCTTACGTTACTTGAAAAATTTTTCTGGGGCGCAAGTTCTGGCGCACCTGTATACGCCATTGTAATTCGCTGAAAGACATGATCTCACTCGCACTACGTCCTCCTGAACTCAACAACTTTTCGTGAATAAACGTACATACAACTACATTTAAAAAAAAAGGAAAATGTCAATACAATTTAGAGGTTTTTTTTCAATTTTTCCATAGTGTGAACGTGTTTTATTAAAAATAGGTTAAACTATTTTGATGGCACTCTCAATTCTGCAGCTAAATTCATAATTTTCCTACCATTTTCCAGGTGAGCGATGATTCTGGCTTTTTCTACTTCACTTAAATGCGGTATAACACAAGTTGATATAAATGTAACGACATTGATAGAAATACTTTTGATTGGTATTGTCAAGTTGACAATTGACAACTAGAACCGAATTTACATTTGTAAAAATTTCATTTCCCGTTTTTTTTTAATTAGCTGTATGTTTAATTTCTTTATTAATAATATTTATTAGTTTTTTTGTTGTAAAACATTTCAAATTATTGTTTTTATTTCTTACACGAAAAATAATGACATCCCATTTGCGTCGTCCCTGAATGCATCTTTCAACCTTGATAATTGTCAAAGTTATTTATACATATTGTTGCTTGATTCCACATTTTTAAGATCAATTTTTTTTCCTTGTCATTGGTCTCTTTCAAAAAACTGTAACTTGTAACTGTAGACATTTAGAATAGAAAATTCGTATTACGTTAACAGTCTTGTTTGAAGAAAGAATTTCTCGAGAGATGTTGGTCTATTTACATAACATCTTGTAGTTACAAAGATACGTGACATTGTTGATTATACAGTGAGGATTTTATTTCCTTGAAAATAACCCCATGTTCAATTCACAGATATCTAAGTTGCGTGCCTAAAATTTAAGAGAAATTAATAAATGGGAGTAATAGTTATTTGTTATATAAGACGATAAAATTGAATTTTATCGATCGTCACATCGTTTGCTCAGTCTTCCTTCCAACCGCAAATGTGACTGTGTCAAAATATTTAGGTAAGTATATTTATTATTTGTTATCTATTTTTATCAATTTTTATATATTATTGTAGACACTTTATATTCAATCTGAAGAAAATGGAAATAAAACATTGAAACGTCACATTCTATAAACCACAATTTGAGCTGTGGGAATAAAGTGAAGCTTTATTATTGTTAAGAAAAAAAATGTAATGTTACACAATTTCAAAAAAATGAAATAAAATATTCTTAGTGAGTAAAAAAGAAAAACAAAGTTATTACTATTAAATAAATTTATTTCTAAATTGTAATTCAGTGATTCTTTAGTTTTTATTATTAGCCGCTTGCAGCGGTGGTTGCTGGAGCAGCAGTTGCTAAAAAGTGAACGTCAGAAAACTTAAAAAAAATAAATTTTAAACTTACTGAAAGAAACACTGATAGTAAAACCAAAACAACTGGCGCCCTTTTTCATAGCTTCCCCTATACGAACCATTACAGCTCTTTTACTTTGAAGATCAAGACGCGGTAAAGCATTACAACTCTAAAAAATTTCAAATGGTTGACAAAAAAAAACTAAAACAGCAGAATAATTAATAATATACTTACAAATATTAAAAAAGCTGCAGTTATGGCAAAAAACAAAAATTTCCGAACTTTCATCCTCGTACCTGAACTACACTTGTGATTCTTGCAAATTTCACATTTTCGTTTAGTATTTTATACAACAGTTAACAATAGCAAATTGGCTGTAAAATAAACAAATTGGGCACAATGCGGAAGTGTAAATTTATTTGATACATTTTTTTTTGTATTTCCGTTTACAAATCAAATTGCTTTATTAATTATGCTCGTTCACCCCCTCTTCCTCCTATTTCGTATCCAGCACCTGCACCAGCATTAAATCCGAATCCTATACCCCCACCAACGCCACCACCAGCACCGCCCCCAGTACCCCCGCCTGAATAAGGAATCCATTGATTGTAATCCTGTGCCACATAAATCTACAATTATCAACATTTAACCACCAAAAAATTACTTGTGGTATAATTACCATTATTATAGTGGCAATGAAAAGTGTCATTACGGTTTTCATCCTCGCTTTGGGACTGTTATTAATTAGCTCATCCACGCTTTATAAATGTTTGAAAAAATGTCGGAAATGTCACTATTTACTTTGCAAGGTTATAAAAAACACATTTTTTATAAGCAAAATTTATTTTTTGTAAAATAAATACATTAGTGTTCAACGTGAGTGGTTTTACCATCACAATCATCATTTATCATTTTATCATCATCATCACAATCATTACTCCCACTTTCATCTGAGTTATTTTCAAAAATTAGTTTAAAAAGCGGCGAAAGAATTGAAGTTTTGATAAAATTTACCTCTTCTTCCATGTTAGAATCGTTGCGTTTATCTCGATCGTTCAAACCATTTGTTGATTTTTTTTCTTCTTCTTCTTTATGTTCAACTTCTTTGTTTCCACCATCGTCACTTTTTCGTGGATGCGGGATTTTGCCACCTCTTCTGCCACCCATACGACGTCTTGCCGAAAATGAAGAGGACTACGATTATTATATTATTGCACATTATTTCCGCCAAACTTATTGTAATTACCACTAGCAAGAAAAATATGAACAAAAAGAAATAAATATTTTTCATGATCCGACAACACTGAACATTCTTCCATGGATTCACAAACAAGAATGAATTAATGAAAATATACATCCGGTTTATAATTTATTTATAATACATGGTTTTACGTATTTTTGGCAATTTGTCTTAAATTTTAATTGATAATTTGGAAAGGCAACGACCATTGTAATTAGTGATCACTGTGAAACGACTTCGGATGTTTAAAATTTATTTGTTTTGTATCTACACATTTGGAATTTAATTACCTGCGTGTATCAATTTTTAGAATTTTATTTAGGAAGTTTTAGAAAATTTGAAAATACTGTGTTATTATTAAATTATCAGGATTATCTACATACAGGGTAAGAATTTTACAGCCCTCGGAATGTGGGTATGGAAATTTGATTTTTTTGTAATAACTTTAGAACTATTTGACCAAATATTATAAAATTTGGAACATTTCCCTGTGACAACATACCCTTTAAACTGGTATCACGAAAACCGGATACATCCACTCAATTTCCGGTTCCAGCAGTTGCAAGTCACATTTTCTGTGTTTTTCCATTTTTTTGCTCTCTTAACACCAATTTTTTCTTGCCCAAATCGATAGAGTAATCAATTTCGATTAAAAAACGCATAACCTTTAATACTCCTAACATGGACCGTTTTAAAGATATTTTAATTTAAACTGAGGACTGCACAACGCTGAAATCAAAAAATAGGGATTTTGAATAAATGGTATCCACGGCAACCAATGGCCATAGTCACATAAATCCCTGCCAGGCATCTGTTAACTTTCACAATAAATTTTTGTGAATTTTTTATGAATTAAATACTACGAGATCCATTTGGATTTATTCTAAGTTATGTTTGGAATCTGAGGTAAACTCTTTTATTAAATATTTTCGATTAATTGTCTAATAATCGTCCAATGTCAAAGTTGACAGATGCCTGACAGCGATTAGTGAGACCATGATCATTTGTTACCGTGGATATCATCCATTCAAAATCCCTACTTTTTGGTTTCAGTGTTGTGCAGTCCTCAGTTTAAATTAAAACATCTTTGAAACGGTCCATTTTAGAGGTATTAAAGGTTATGCGTTTTTTAATCGAAATTAATTACTCTATCGATTTGGACAATAAAAAATTGGTGATAAGAGAGCAAAAAAATGGGAAAACACAGAAAATGTGACCTGCAACTGCTGGAACCGGAAATTGAGTGGATGTATCCGGTTTTCGTGATTACCAGTTTAAAGAGTATGTTGTCACAGGGAAATGTTCCAAATTTTATAATATTTGGTCAAATAGTTCCAAAGTTATTACAAAAAAATCAAATTTCCATACCCACATTCCAAGGGCTGTAAAATTCTTATCAGTAGAGATAGGACACGAATTATTATTTAAATTAACATCATTTTATAGGTCATTTTTGAGGTTCAAATATTGCTTCATATTTATGAATAACCCTGTATATACCGGGTGTCCCAGGCAGCCTTGGATATAGGAAAGTAACATAGGAAATTCGTTTTTATTTTTTTCCGGCTGCAGGAGTAACAGAAATCAAAATCTGATTGAAGGAGCTTGTAGTGCTCGAAAAGGGCTATCTTATCGACATTTTGGTCAATTCTCCAATTAACTCTTGCTGGGTTAGCGTTACTAAGAAACAAACTATCAAGTCATTGTTGCAACAGAGAATTTGTCAGCTAAAAGCCCTTGCTATGACTTGATAGTCTGTATCTTACAAACGCTAACCCGGCAAATTCAAATTTCGATTTTCCGAGAGCCGTTTTCGCTCAAATGGAGTTAATGGAGAATCGAGAAAAATGTCGATAAGACAGTCTTTTTCGAGCACTACAGTCTCCATTTTGATTTCTGTTACTCCTGCAGCCAGAAAAAAATAAAAACTAATTTCTCATGTTAATTTTCTATATCCAAGACTGCCTGGGACATTCGGTATATAAAAGAGTTCCGTGACTGACTGACAGACAACGCACAGCCTAAACCACTCAAGCTAAAACATGAAATTTGGCACATATGTTCCTAACAGGGTGTAGAGATTCGCTAAGGATTTTTCAAAAATCAATCTCTAAAAGGGGGTGAAATAGGGTGTAAACTTTTAAACGAAGATAGAAACAAAATATATATGTTCCTTGCCGGTTGCAAAGGAGCACTAATACGAGATTTTTCAAATACAATAAGTAAAAACTTATTTACTCCCTTAGAAAAGGGGGTGAAACGGAGTATATACATTTAAACTAAAATAGAAACATGACATTTGGCACATATGTACCTTAGAGGGTGTACAGGTTCGCTAAGAAAGGATTTTTTGAAAATCAATCTACGGGGGTGCAATGGGAGTGAAGGGGGTGAAACGGGCTGTCCACATTTAAACGAAGATAAAAACATAAAATTTGGAAGATATGTTCCTTAGTGTGTGTAGAGGTTTGCTAAAGAAGCATTTGTCGATAACCAATTTCTAAGGGGGTGAAATAGGGTGTAAACATTTAAACAAAGTTCTAAACATAAACTTTGAGAACAAATTCCTTCGAGAGTGTAAAGTTTCGCTAAAAAAGGATTTTTTGAAAGTCAAATTCTAAGAAGGGTGAAACGAAGAGAAGAACATAAAATTTAGGAAATACCGGGTGATTCTTAAATAGACCGACAAAATTTTATCCTTAGTAGTATCAAATGAGAACATGCTGGAAAAAATATTGAAAAAATTCTTTGTTTAACCGTTCTCCAAATAAAATTTATTAAAGTTATTTACGAGGTAAAGTGTACGCCACTGATGTGTTCGTAAATAGTATTAGCACAGGTAGTGGAAACCATGGTACTAATTTGATCAAAATGTAAGTAAGTGGCACAGATCAAGGGGGTTCTGCCCCTAAAAAATATCAACGTAAAAAGGGTACTGATTATTTCCATTTATCCTTGGAAAGCTGTGATAAAATTTTGTCGGTCTATTTAAGAATCACCCTGTATATTACTTAGAGGGTGTTGAGGTCCGCTAAGAATAGTATATTATAATACTAGTTTATAAGCAAGCTTTTAAACGAGTGGTATACGCTATTTTTTATTATACCTGCCCATTTACGATCATCTATGAGCATTGAAAAAATGTGAATTAACACAATAAAATTATCAAAGGTTGTTTGTGAATCGTTTTCGTAGAGACGGTTACTAGTTTACGTTGTTAAGCACATTTTTTCACGTTGTAATTGGTCCAAACATTTCACTATTTCTTGTTACCTAGACAACTTTAAAATTGCAGCGTGCGATAAAGGCCAAAGTACGCACGCTGCAGGGTGTTTTAATTTAGAATTATGATGCAGGTATAATAAAAAAAAATTTTTTAGATATATTTATAAGAGGGTGAAGAGGGTTGTCAACACTTAAACAAAGATAGAAACATAAAATTTTTAAGATATGTTCTTTGGCGGTTGTAAAGCAGCACTAAAAAGAGATTTTTAAAAATTAGTTTCTAAGCAGGTGAAATGGGGTGTACACGTTTAAACAAAGATGAAATTTGGAAAATATATAAGATGTTCCCTGTTTATTGCTGCAAATTTAAAAAGGTAAAGTAAAAAGTACCCGAACTATTTTTGCTGTTGGTTCTTGCTACTTGCTACAGCCACAAAATTTTACATTCCATAGTTTTTTACAAAAAAAAAGGTCTCTTGCGTTTTTTCGATACAACTTACCGTTTTTAAGTAAAACCAGTTTACAATTTGTCTTACAGACCATAAAGCGGATAAAAATTAAAAATTAAATTCGTTTTACTGTTT